ATTAGGGTTTAGGGTTTAGGGTTTAGGGTTTATGAGGGTGTTATTATGATTGAGAAAGATACTCTTTAAAGGAGACAAAAGCAGAGCCTGCGCATTGATAAGCATCAAGCTTATTAGGAAGTGCATAAACTTTAGAGACAGCTCCGAATCGAGCAAAATAACGAGATAGCCTCTCTTGTATAAACTCAGGGGTGCGGCCCATAGGGAGACCCTCTACATAAACTGTCTCCTCTCCGTGCTCGGCTATGCCCTCTAACCTAATATACAAATTATAATACACAAATTATAAACAACATATTAAAGGAGACACTTACTACAACTGCACATGCTTCTCTCTCTCTCTCTTTCTCTACAGATGCTGAGACAGAGAGAGACAAATAATATATATATAAATATATATAAAGAGAGGGGGACAGATATATATATATATATATATATATATGCATACTGTACACCTACACATTTACATATGCATATGCTTGCTGCAGCAGAGAAGAAAAAGAGACATGGAGACAGTTGTTTGCTGCTGAATAGAGACACAGAGACAGTTGTTTGCTGCTGTATAGAGAGAGGAGGGACAGAGGTAGAAACTTGCTCTCTGCTGCTGCAGAGAGCGCCCGCAAACCCTAAACCCTAAACCCTAAACCCTAAACCCTAAACCCTCAAGAAGGCGGGCCTACCCTGACTCAGGCTCTGTATTAAGCCAATCTACTGGTTCGCCTGTCTGTGGGCTTCTGAGGGGTATCCTAACCATCTCCCTCCAGTTTGCTGCTGCTGTTGCTGCTGCTGCTGCTGCTGCTGCTGCTGCAGGAGGCCTGTAAGGCCACCGCATGCGGCTTGCCCCAGGCACATGCCTCAGCCGGGCACCAGACAAACGCAAAACCCCCCCACTCGCATTGCTGCTGCTGCTGCTGCTGCTGCTGCTGCTGCTTGGCGTGCTGCTGCTGCTTGGAGTACTGCATCTAATAGTGCTGCTCCTGGTGCTAATACTGCAGCTGCTGGTAATGATGCTGCTTCTGCTGGTGATTCTGCTGCTGCTGCTACTGCTGCTGTTGTTAATGCTGCTGCTGCTGCTTCTGAGGCAGCAGCAGCGAGCAGCCTTCAAGGAGAGCAGCGGAAGAGTGAGGTAGAAGGGCATGGGCTTGGGGCTTCTTACAACGCCAGCAAAGACAGCTGCTGCTGCTGCTGCTGCTATTGCTGCTGCAGCGTCATGGGTTGGTGTTGTTGTTGTTGTTGCTGCTGCTGCTGCTGCTACAGCAGCAGCTGGGCGCCGTGTGTATGCAGAGGAGGCGGGTGTGTAGAACGATAATAAAATCTATGATAATAGAACAACTGTTATGTTATTATTAATAAATTAATAAATATAATTATTTGTTTTAAAAGAAAATTTAATAAACAATTATATTCATTTTGCTGCAGCGTGGGGCTGCATGCAGAGGGGCCTCTGCATGGATGTAAGTGTGTATTGTTTGTTTGTATTACTTTAAATTTATTATTTAAACCTTCTGTTTAATTTAATTTATATATTTTATCTTTTTATTAATATTCATCCGCATGAAATGTACACCCTGAGGTGTATAGGCAGGTAGCAGCAGACTTCTCTGCGTATATATATATATATATATATATATGTGTGTATGTATATATATATATGTATATATATATATATATATTCGTTATATATTATTATTTTATATAATAAAATTATGCATTGAATTATACATTACAGATTATTAGTTGTTTACTGTATATTACTTATTTTTTATCGTTAGTACATATACTGTATATAATGTGTATTATATATTATATGCTATATGCTATATAGTGCATATATATGTATATATATATATGTCTATATAAATAAAACTATATAATAGATATATATAATATATATACATATATATAACGATGTCTATTATATAATAAATGATGTCTACTAAAGAATAAATTTATGTGCATGCAAATGCATGCAGACAAAAATGTTTAACTGCATGCATGCAAATAAAAGAATTAAACCTTTTCTTATTGCATGCATGCAAGTGCGAAGAAGGTTTAAAATAAGAGTATTTGTTAAGTAAGATTATGTAGTCTAATTGTATACATGCAAATGCATGCAGTGAAATATATATGTATATATATTATATATATGTATATATATTATATATATGTATATATATATATATATACATATATATATATATATTAATGTAGCTACCTATATATACATGCATATATGTATACCTATTTGTGTATATATATATGCATGTATATATAATGTATATATACCTGTATATATATATATCTGTATATATATTTATACAAATATATATATATATATATATTTGTACATATATATATATATATATATTTGATGACGGAAAAAGAGAAAAGTAGCAGTAATAATTAAAGAGACAGGCGGAGACAGGTACATATGTACACATATAGATATATATATATATATATATATATATATATATATATATATATATATATATATATATATAT